GTTAAGTAGTGCGATTCAATAATTATGAGATATATTCTTTTTTTATTTAATTCGGGTTTTTGACGTAGAAGTCAATGATTTAAATCACCTCAAATTAATTAATTATTTGTCAAATTCGAACGAGTATGACGTGGAAGTCAACTCAATAACTTACCCTACTAAGTTATTTTTGGTCGTATATTCAACTATGGTAAAATTTTAATCTTACATAGGTATTTAAAATCGGTTGAGGTCGCATTTTTTTATTTAACTATTTAAATAAATAGATTCTTCATGGCATTTTTAAATCAATAAATAATAATTAATTTCCAAAATTAAAAATTAATGAGAATCAAAATTCAATATGCTAACAATTTCTAATATTACATGAGTTTGTGTTATATTAATATAAGTTCCAAATAATAATTTGATGTTGGAGGAGTAATTGGGCTGGGCCCAGCCCACTGCGGATCAAATTAGTGACTGAAGTCATTTAATGGGCCATGGCTGAGGAAGAAGAATGTGGGTTGGGCTTGGGCCTGGTTTAAACTCTTATTGAACCCATACCCAAAACGAACTGGATCGGGTCGTTAAAAATTCTACCCGACCCTTATAATTCGGGTTGGATTAGGTTCTCGGGTTCATGGTTAATTGGTGTATATTTTGTACATTTATTATTATTATTATTAAAATTAGTATATTAAATTATAATTTTGTATGAAATTGGATTAAAAAGTTGTGGGCCGAAATTGGGCGCAAGGATTTTGTCCTTCCTATGCCTAAAGCGCAGCTCCGATCACCGACGACGCTGGTCCGATTCAAAGCGGTCGCCATTTCCGGTGGAAGAAGCAAACTAATCATCCCACTTCTACGACTCTACTTACACAGGTACAAACCAGTATTTCTGGTTATTTTTTTTTACCATTTTCTATCGAACGCTTTAATTTCTACTTGGAACTGAAGTTTCAGTTCCAGCGACTTTCTCAAGCTGCCTTATGTTTTAATGTTCTGGATTTTTTATGATTTGACTTCGGCATGTGGAATTCGAATCTGTTTTGTGGCAATTAGTATTTGTACTGATTTCTTAGATGATGTATTTTGATTATGTGTTTGTTCCTTTTGTACTGATTTCTTGTTTTAAGTGTGCCGGCTCTGGATTTGAGTTGCCGGTGTTTGTTCCTTATATTTTGTTGGGCACTGATTATGGTTGTTGGTGTTATGATCATTTGCGCAAATGTGATGGATTCTGTTTGCTTTTCATTTTGCTCACCCGACCTAAACATAACTCGGCAGATTAAGGCATATACATTAAAAATCTCTATGCTGGCTGATATTGACAAAACTGGGTAGTGGAGCAAAGACATCTTTGCGGGGGGAAGTTTGAGAGTTGAAGTAAGAACTGATTGCACCAAAAGTACAAAATATCATTTCTTTTTCCGGATTAGAATTTTCTGTAGTAATCCATGTAATTCTATGTCTATCATTTTATTCAGAAGAAAGACATGAAAATCTATGGGAGCTTGGTCCTTGTAGTGGAAAAGGCTAGAAATTATAGAACTGTTTGTAGTTGTATGATTGGGAAGAGAAATGTCTACGAGAATGTAGCACGTTAGACCGGGATATTACATTCATTCCTTTAGGCAGTGTTTGATTCTTGGATTAGATTTGTAGAATCTAGGATTAATCTTGTTTTTGATCCATGTGTTGTGTATAATCTAGGATTAAAAATATATGAAGTTACAAGTTTGCTAATCCGGTCGACTGCATAAACTAGAGCCTATAAAATTTACATTTTGCAATACAAGCTAACTTTTATAAGCACATTACCAACCATAGATTTCATAAATCTAGGTTTCTATGATCCATTTCTTTTCCAATGCAAACAAGCTTCCTAGCATATGAAAAAACATCAAATAGTTCTGTTAAATAAAATCTTCTTTCATATGGACGTGATACTCATATCCACTGCTTCACATAGAATTTCAGAACTTAATTAACTTGCAGGCAATCCACCTTTGGTTTGTTTGATCTAACCGTTGTTTGAATGCTCTGTTAGCTGTAAATATTATTTGTTCCTTTCAATTTCACCATTGGAATGTTTCAGTCAGCATTGCACTAAATATAGGAAATCTGTTTTATTGCTTTCGTTTACTTTTCTCGTGGCACTTTTTTTTTTTCCTTCTTTATTTGTTTCATTTAGAATCTCCTTATTTGTTCTGTTCATTTTAATTATCTTCCAACAGGCTTGTCTCTGCTACGAGAGTCAAGACACATGATGGCATTAGAACCATAGCATAAGGATGTTGTTTGAAGTATTAATGAAGTCCAGGCATTGGGATCCTAGGCTTTCTTCTCCTTATTCCCTCAAATGCTTCCTAAGGAACTTTTCTCTATGGTCAATGAAGAAAGACCCAGACCTTGAATCAGCTCTATCTCGTAATCGTCGATGGATTGTCAATAATCAAATCAAGAATATCGTCCTTCGTTGCCCCAATCAGACGGCACCTGTAAAATTTCTCCAAAAGAAGTTTAAAACCCTCGACTGTCAAGGAAAAGCCCTTAACTGGCTGAAAAAGTACCCCATCTGCTTTGAAGTTTATCTCCACAATGATGAGTACTATTTTCGGCTGACAAAGAGGATGATGGCTTTAGTTGAAGAGGAAGAAACTATCAAAGATATGCAGGAGCCTGCTTTTGTCGAGCGGTTGGCAAAGTTGCTGATGATGGCTTCGAATCAGAGACTAAATGTTTTAAAACTTGGTGAATTAAAGCGGATTTTTGGGCTCCCAGATGATTACTTGATAAGAATCGTTCCCAAACATTCAGATATGTTTCGAATTGTAAATTATACTGGAAAAAGAAACTCAATGGAAATAGAACTGGTCTCTTGGAAACCAGAACTAGCAATTTCCAGCATAGAATCTTCAGCCTGCAAGCATGGGGTTGAGCCAGCTTTCTCCTGCTCACTGCCAACGACTTGGGTAAATTCGTGGGAAAAGTTTCATGAATTTAATGCCTCTCCATATATTTCACCATATGCGAACCATGCAGGGTTGGTGAAAGATACAAAGGAGATGGAAAAGAGGACAGTGGGGTTGATCCATGAGATATTGTCGCTGACATTATGGAAGAAAGCATCAATTATGAAGCTTGGACATTTCAGCAGGGAATTCGGTCTGCCATTGAAGTTGAATGCGTTGCTGCTTAAGCACCCTGGCATATTCTATGTCTCAAACAAGTATCAGATTTACACTGTTCTTCTTAGAGAAGGGTATAATGGATCAGAACTAATTGAGAAAGATCCACTAGTGGTTGTAAAAGAGAAGTTTGGAGAACTGATGCAGGAGGGACTTCATGAATATAACAGGCGACATCATTTGATGAATTTAGAAAAGAAGAGAATGAAGGGGATGCTTTTGGGTAGATCAGAAAAGAACAAGAGGAAAGATTCTGAACCAGATGATCTTGATGATCAAGGAAACAATCTAGGAGGTTTACTTGAGCCAGAGGAAAGAAAAAGATTCTATCAGTCTCTCTTTGATGATGGTTCTGCATGACCTACACAGATTCGCTAGAACTTCATATAGTTCTAAATTTTCATAGTCGTTTGTCGTAGCCTTGCAGCGCCTTGTTTAACCGTTTCTAACGTTTATCATGACTTAAGAACTTCAATGAAAATTCGAGGATGGGATTTTTAAAAACAAAGGTAAATATTCTGATTGCCCTTCGTCAATCGATATATATGTTGCAATTATCTGCGTGGTACCATTCTTTGGCTGGAGTCCTTTCTTGTAATTGAGCACTCATTTTGCGTGTTTTTTTTTTTTTTATGCACTCGCACATACTTTCATTTTTCTAATTGAAAGCTCATGTTCTTATAAGAAAAGGAAAAGGTAAATATGGTATTGATAGGTTGTAGATTTTTTTTTTTTACTGCAGATCATTTGCTGCTTATCTGATCACTATGTCAGCGTCCTTCACAAATGTGAAGGAGTTGGTACAGTGGATAGCCGTTTAACATTATCATTTCGAAATGACTACAGGAACTGTCTGTATGCCAAACCTGAATTAGTATAGTAATCCAGGAAATGGAATGTTTCAACTAAATATTTGTCTAAAGTTTGGCAGGGCGGAGCTTTTGATTTAAACTCTTCAAAGCAACGAGTTTTGCATCAATGGAGTTGAATTGTAGATGAGTTGTCTTCTCTGTCATGAGCAAACTGACGCTGCTATAAAGTGCCGAGGAGAAATTTCTGATTTAATGAAGAAAACGATGGCATGAGATTGTGGAGCATGAATATTTATAAGGGGACAGAACCATCTCTAAACTACTTTGGGTGAGCTCTGGTCGACAGTCCAGTTTTCAGGTCAGGACTACTGATTCTTGCCTTACCAACCTGATTTAAATGTATAATAATAGAGACGAATAAATCAATTCCTGAATTGAAAAGCTATCCAATTCATCTACATTTTTCATATTCAAGAACAAATTGAAATGTATGTTTCATTAATTTGTAATCTTTATTTCTTCTTTATCAAAGTCTATTACTGAGTAATTCTTTCGTAGATATATTTGATAAGATATATAGGTCTGAAAAGTCAATAGGAAAGTATCATAGTACCCATTTTTTTCTCATCTCCCCAGTTTGCAGCCACTTCCCCATGATATAGGTTATCAAACAGGGTCGTTCATGGTAGAGTAGAATAGTGTTTGTGTTAGTTGTGTGTTTGTATGTCACTGTGCATGAAATCTACTTGGAAACAAAATGAAACAAGTCAAAGTGAGCCTAACTTAGCTCTAACTGACATGTACTTCCATTGAGGTGGAAGATTCAAATCCTCGTAGGTAATGGTTACAGAGCTCATTCGAGATGAAAAGTTAGCAACCTAACAGATCAATTCATGATACTAATTAATCAATCAAATTTCTTCAACTACTTGTAGAAGTAAACAGAGTTCAAAGAATCCAACAAAAACAAGTTTTTTCATAAGGACGAAGACAGAAGAAAAACAGGAAAAAGAAAAAAAAGAGAGACCAAGCAAGGTTTGATTCTCTATGACTTAGGAACACAATTTCAAATTGCGTATACTTGGCCTTGTATGCAAAATCTGAAGGCACTCACTCAATTTGTGCAGCCAATTAAAATGTCAGAAAACTACAGTTAATATATCAAAACAACTAGCTAGTTATCTATTTTATGTAATAGAACAGCATAAGCATAGCAACTAAAGGATAAGCATAGCAACTAAAGGATAAGCCTAGCCTATGAACGAAGTTTGAGTACTTGAAAGTTCTCAGTAGGTCGAATCCACAAACGTTCCTGCTCCAGTCGACTTGATAGAGAAGACGAACAAGAAATTCCCATTAAGGATGCACGCAAATGAACTTCCAAACTGATAGTTACACAGTCCTCAGTGGCGGTGAAACCAATATGACACCATCTCCTCTAACAAAAAGAAACGGGACAGTACGCCTAGATGTCTGGAGAGGAAAGTAGACAAATATATGAAATCTCAAATGCTGGAGTTAAAATATCAAGTATGGATAGGCACAATGAACCAGCTTGAGGAACACAGGGTATTCTTTTCCTTTGGTTTTAAACTTCAAACATTTGAGCAATAGTGTATTTATTTCCTTCAAAAACGCAATGTACACTAGTAATCCAGTGTTCACTATTGTAAACCCACCTGATCCTACTTGAAAATGGGACCAACTTAGTATTCAAAATTATCTTCTGCAGAGTAGAGATTGATACAAAGTTACAAACAACACTAATGCAAGAAAATGAGCATACCCGAACGATCTCTTCGTAAGTCTCGTCGTCAATTTCTACAGTAGTAACAATTTCTTCAACATCGCCTAGAATCATATTAAGATGTTGATCATAAGCCTGCAAAACATCATGATAGTCAGGCAACAGAATGTAGTTAAAACTCCAGGAAAGGTAAATCTCAGTAATGGACGATTAAAATGAAGAGATCAAAGCTGAAAATTTTGCATTTACAAAAGCATCTCAAAACTAAAAATGCGATAGAAGAGTCCTGGATCAGTTACTACTCATAATCTGCATCTGTGGATAAGTGGATCACACAACCGACCAGCCAGTGTAACAATGTGTAACAATGATTTTGTTAAAAAACCATATCTCCACTGGGAATATGCAGTTATGGTCCTCTTTTGGGCTTTCCCCTTAAGGTTTCAAAACGCATTTGTTAGGGAGAGGTTTCCACGCATTCGTTCTCCTCTCCAACTGATATGGATCTCACAATCCACACCCTTTGGGGGCCCAACGTCCCCGCTGCCTCTGATATTATTTGAAATAGCCAAAGCCCACTGGTAGCAGATACCACATCAACCGCTAGCGGTAGGCTTGGATTGTTACAAATGGTAAGCCAAACACTGGGTGTGCCCCAAGGGGGGTGGACTGCTAGAGAAAGGAACAAAACATTCCTCTCGGGGTTTCCCCAATAGATGCATTTTAAAACCACGCCCGCCCCATCACAAACGCAAAAACTCAATAGAAGAAAGACTAATTGCTTACTGTCAACGAAATGAATGTAAACAAATTTCAAGGGAAAGCCATCAAGTAACCAAAACGATTAGAAAACCCTAATTCTCCAAGACATTCATTTGATCAAAAGAAAAAAAAAAAAAAAAAAAAAAAAAAAAAAACTAGAAAA